TCTCTCTCTCTCTCTCTCTCTCTACTTTGTGCTTCTTTTTGACTGGTAGCTCTACCAAGGTTTCGGCCTACCTCCCCCCCTTTTTTTAAAAGTTTATTACCGGTATTGTCTTATCCGTTTCAAATACAAAATAGTAGTTACCACACTGATTCGTTGTAAACTACAACTTAACGACGACTCTCTCACCAGATGAACGTGGTGCCTTCTGAAAAAGTGGAAGAAGCAAACGAATCTGATTATAACATTCTGAAAGTCAAAGGAACTCCGGGATATCAGCAGCCACACGAGGCGTCAATGATACACTTTATCGTTAACCTACTCCAACAGCTGCAGGTCACAGGCCTAACAAGATACTTTCTCAGTCTTCAAAACAGCAAATTGACTAAACATCAACGACGTGGGGCGTTTTTGGTGATTTCGTAGCAATACTCTAAACCATTAAACAGGGAACTTCTTTATACTATGTCCGGCCACATCAAAACACTTTGAGATTCAAACAAACTTCTGGGCTAGATGGTCTCATCAGGAAACTAACTATCTTTGAAGAACTGGATTCTACAAAGCAGAAGTAAGCTCAGATTCTTCTCGGCATTCCTCTCTTCAAAGTCTCTCCCATCATGTGCTCTGAGTCTATGCCGTACTACGTGCCCCCTCGGTTCCACACAGAGCGCCTTTACTTCAACCCGCTCCAGCACAATCAGCCAGGGTTTCCCTTTGACGAGCCGAAGCGTTGTCCGTCGTCATGGCAACATGGGCAGACTCGCCAGGAGAACTTTGGGTTAGTTGCCTAAAATCTAGGTACCTTTTAAAGAACAATTCGAGGTTGCGTAAAGAATACCTCTAGAGCTCAAGAAAAAAAATTATAAGGGTTTGTTTGTTTGTAGGTTGTTTTTTGTTGTTTATTTGTTCGTTTGTTTGTTTCTTCGTTTGTTTGTGCGTTTTGTGTGGGGGAGGGGGGTTGAGGGGGAGACAAATGCAGACCTATTGTTGGTCGTTTGGGGCGAAACAGCACATGATAGACTGAAAAGAATTACTTGTTACCATCCTTTTAACTGGCGAGGATTCTCGGGAACGGGAGACTGCTTATTCAGACTGTTTACATCATTTTGCTGTAGAATCTAGCTGCCAAGACTGGCCTTCCTAAAGGTCTAGAAAACAAGAACTAGCTGTAAATCTTCTTAAATGCGTAGGCTAGCAGGACGGATAAAATAAGCATTGTGTGTGACACTCTTTGATGGTTACATTGCAAGGAAAAGTATTGAAAATTACCCCAGAACTGCGGGTAGAAAAAGAAATGGGAACCATCAAAATCAGTGATCAAAAATCGAGAAAACTAGAGCCTGTTGACCACACGCAAAGTTTTGACTTCGTTTCCTTACTGTGTTCCATTTATAGCATCCTGTGAGGCAAAGAGAAGCACAATTTGATATTATAATCTCGTAATGTGAAAGATCAGTCAACTGCAGACATACCCTTCATGCTTTCAATGCACGTGTTCGTGGAAACAGGTTGTTACACCAATCTGCCTTAGAAGTCATACAATCTACTGTGGGAGTGAAGATGGACAAAAATTACTTGAAATCGACACAGAATATGACCTGTGCATTACACGCTCCTTCTCCATAACGTATGTAGGAAGCTCCTATGACCTCGACATTGGAATTGACTAGATTTTATCTTCCTAGAGGGGTGGCATACTCTGAACTATGGGCAATAAAGTAAAACTACTGGTAGATTTTATAATGCACATGTTTTCAACTATTGACCAAAAGGATGAAGATAAAGAGATTTTCCCCAGCGAGCTCATAGACGTCACAAAGGTCAATAAAGTAAAAACCAGGAATTCAGAGAAACGTTCTGAACTCCAACAATTGCTTGGGGATATGTTTGATAATAATGGACAGAGAATGAATATTGTGTAATAACCGTTGCGAAGTAATCAAAGTAATTATGAAGCGATCAGCAGCATTTACCATTGGCGAACTATGGAATAAAGAAAACAGGGTATGAGGACGAGTATAAAACATGTATCAAGGTACGTGTACTTATGCCTCTGACTGACCTAAAGAAAACGTGTCTATCGCCAGTGACAGTAAAGCCCACCAGAAGCTCTCTAAAAGATTTAAAAGAAGCTGAGCAGAACATAGGCTACAGGAAGCTGGAAGACAAAGTGCACATAAGTAATGGATTGACCTCCCGGAGAATACCAGACTGCATAAAAAACATGGAAGATCAGAAAAATGCACGATGAGATAAAGAAATGTGCATGGATAAACGTAAAGAGATATTATAATATGCCACTTAAGAGGCATCATCTGTCGAGATATTATCATTAATAACAGACAAGAAAAAGCAAAACTAAATCCCATTGGGTCACTGCCCCCTCCGAAAAAAAAACCCAACACCAAACAAACCAACAAACAAAAAACACCAAACGAACAAAAAATTGAATTTTTACTCTGTCTGTTTCCTTGTCCCTCGCTCTTTTTATTCAGAGAACTCTATCTCGTTCTGTAGTCTCCCCCCAATAAAGCCGTAGAGGAGAAATATAAAGCAATCTGAATACTTCTTGGGTTTCTGTTGTTTTTGTTGTTGTTTTTTGTTGGG